ATACAGTGCCAAACCAAACTGGCAAGAATATAAGTAGCATTTCTCAGACGGACCACAGATATTCCAGTTTAGCATGGAAATTGCTCGGAGGGAGCATCTACTGTACGCATAAGCCTGTATCACAGAGATATCATCCCTTTTGGTAGCTGCAGCAGATCTCTGATCCCCCTGAAACAAGCCTTTTAACTTGTCTTGGCTAAAAAAAAAAAACACTAATTTGAGCACTTGGAAGTGTTTAATATCGGATGCTCTTTCTCTTTTATAATTTCCAGGCTTCGATTGCAGAGAACAAAGAGTGGTTCACGCTGGCCAAACAGAGCCAAACGCTGATCAGCACACCATCTCTGCCAGTGCCCCTGTGCGCTTCTGGGGAAGGCCTGTCCTGTCGGGGCACTACAGCCAGCACAAGTGCTGTGAGCAGCTTGGGTAGGCTTTACGCCACAGCGAGGAAGACTTGTCATAGCTTTCGTTCAAACAGCAGGTCTCCAGTGGTGTTGCTTACTGCAGCAGTGCTCAGACCTTCATCTCAGCACCGTTCCTAGAGATCTTTATCCTTTTAACACAGGAGTGTAACTCCCCTCGTTCTGTAGTTGTATCGTGATTCTTGTCCAAATTCCTGTGAGGCAGATTCTACCGGTTACATTAGCTTGTACAGCAGAAACTTCACCACCACAGGTTTACCGTAGCGAGGCAAAGTGTGGTAATTTGTGAACACCGTGCTCGAGAGAGGGCCGTCGCCACTTTCAAGACGATTTTTTTTGTAGAGCGGAAAAAGTAAATCTCATAAGGCAGGAAGAAGCAGACAGAGGAGTTAGGAGTAAAGAAGAAAATGGAGTCATGTGAGCCAGAGACCAAGCAAGAGGAGCTGGAAGGTGGCCTGGGAGCTGGGCCTGGCTAATGTGAGTCAGAGAGGGTTTACAGGCCGCCTGAGATTTCTGGGTAAACCCTCAGACCGTTTTATTGGATTTGCTGTAGATATAGACTCAGAATGAGATCCAGGAATTAGACAGACATGTGGGCAGGGCTTGTGTTCTCCGGGCTGAACAGGATCATCTGGAGGGGAAGCTGTTTTTTTTTTTTGCAAAAGATGGATTATTAATGTGGTCCAAGTGTCAGAAAAAAGTCATGCTAATATTTTGAAAAGTGACTATTGTGTCTGATTTTGGATGGAAGTTTGTT